GAGGCCTGCAAGGGAGGCGGGGAACATTGGAGTCCTCCGTCACTGAAGCAAGCAAGCCTCATGTTAGTTTCAAGCTGCCTGGCTGCCGGCCGCCATCTTGGCTGACAGTTAATTTGAATATCTCGCTGATTAGCCAATGGGCAGGGTAGCGGTCGTACGCCAATTACCATATTTCTCTTTTATTAGATAAGGATGCTTGCAGTCCTTATAAAAATTCCATTTGCATATGGTTAGTATGTTGGGCCTTTTAATTAGTTTCTGGATTATACTAATATTGAAGATTTCTACATTTACAGTCTTTGGTAGAAAAGGTCCTTGTTTTCTTTTTTGCTGTACTATCTTGTCTGAGGAACTCATATCACAAAGATCTGATTTTTATATTATGCAAAGACTTACAGTATATCAACATGAAAAAAAAGCCAATAAATTTAGTAGAATGAAGGGCAAAGAACATAAACAATTAACTGAAAAAGAGCACAAATGACTTTTACATGTATAAAAAAATCTTGACTATATTTAATAACATAAGAAAACAAATATGCATTAAAACTACTCTCAGATCACATTAGGAAGATAAAACATTTATATTAGAACATGTTGGCAAAGTGTGGGAGACAATCTTCCTGCTGGTGGGAATATCAATTGGTATAACTTGTGTGGAGCATAATTTGTCAAAAAATATATAAAATATAAAAATACACATGGCCTTTTTACCAGCAATTCCACTTGTATAAATTTATCTTACAGATTTATTCCTGTGTGTGACATGAAATATTAAAATAGCTAATCATTATTGAGTTCTCACTATGTGCCAGTCACTGTTCAAGCCCTTTATAAATATTAGCTCATGTCAGTTTCATAATAATTCTGAGGCAGAAATATCATTCTCTGTTTTTAGACCTGAAGAAACTAAGGTATAGGGAGGTAAAGGTACTTTCCTAACATGAAATATCTGGTAAACACTGGATGTGAAAATAAAACACTGCTGATCTCCTGTAGTCTCCCATGCTCTTTGCCACTACACTGACTCTAACCATGTGCAAGTTACTCATTGCTGCATTGTATGCAACAGCTATATTTCAAAAACAAATGCCGATCAGCAGTAGGCTAGTTAAATTAAATACAGTGCATCCAAACAGTGGAACGCAAGCAATATTTAAAAAGAATGCCAAAGCTCTTTCAGTAACTGATTGGAAGAATCTCCAATACATGAGATGAAGACAGCAAACTGCAGAACAGTGTGTAGATTATACTACTGTAGATGTAGAAATAAAATGAACTATTATTGTGTGTGTATATATATAATCACGTGTGCTTTTTCATGCATAGAGTACCTCCAGAAGAATACGTAAGAAACTGCAAACCCTGGTTACCTGGAAAGGGAAATGGCTGTCTGTCACTTTCCCATAATGTGCATGCTCAGCCAGTCAATACAAAAAAAAAAAATCATTCCAAAAATAAAGTAAGTGGAAGGTTAAAAATGAAGAAAAATTGCCATTATCTACTCCTTTTTTAAATTTCATACATAGGTCATCACTTACATAAGATTTTATTTGAAGAAATTATTCCACAAGTTTGAAAAACACTGGAACAAGGAATGACTAATCAAGCTGCATGTGCACAGTAAATATGTGAGGATTAACGCTTATAGAAAATAGTTTGTCTTACCTGACATGTGCGTTACAGTATCTTTTGGCATATTCAGTCCATGTTCCAAATTTTTGTGGAAAGAGAGCTTCAATCTGCATAAAAAGCTATAACAATGCAAGTGTTCTCAATATGTTGAAATATTATTAGTCAATTATTATTACAATGATAAATCCAGTTAATAAAATAATAAAAAGTAAAAAAGGAAATCTACCTCTTCTTCCTCAAGGTCCCTCCTTCCCCTCCACCCCCCATTCCTGCCATCCTGCTCTTCAGAGATAACTGCCATCTTTTTGTTAAACATACATTTATGCATTTTCTATGTCTACGTAAGTATAGGTACATATTCTCTCTCATTCACATGAATAGGGTCCTATTATACATACACAACTAGAATTTGTCCCCCCAAAACATGTCTTCGACATAATGCACATATATATTGTTTTTTTAACTTAGTTTTTAAAATTCTGAGCAATGTATTATAACAACAAAGCTCAGTTTAAAGGTTACATAGTAACCCATTGTATAGATGTACTGTAAAATGTTTATTTAAAAAAATTTTTTTTTATTGATTTCAGAGAGGAAGGGAGAGGGAGAGAGAGAAACATCAATGATGAGTGAGAATCATTGATCGGCTGCCTCCTGCATGCCCTTCACTGGGATCGAGCCCACAACCCGGGTAAGTACCCTGACCTGGAATCAAACCGTGACCTCCTGTCACTGAGCCACGCCTCCTGGGCCATACTGTAAAATGTTTAAACAGTCTCCTATTAATGGATATATAGGCGGTTTCTAGCTTTTATGTAATTACAAAAATTAATGACAATGTAGGTCTGTATGTGTATGTGTGCATATATAAATACACTAGTATATATAGGTGAAGGTATATGTACTACATCTACATTTATCTATCATCTATCCATCCATCCATCTGTATTTCTTTTGGATAGGTTTGTGGGTATATGTTAAAAACTGAAATGTGGGTTTAAGGTAAATGCTTTAATAGATAGGGCTTCCCTGGGTTATAATAATCCTTAGACTCATAATAGTTTCACTCATTATTTCTTCTTCCCAACCCTTTAATCACTCCATACCCCACCTGCCTCTCACAGTAGTAAAAGCTAAATCAGACATCACTCAAATGCCTGATTCCTCTATTCTAATTAGATACTCTATTTGGTTTACACCTAAGTTCTCTACCTTCCCAAACATGGATTTTAGAGTGAAAAAGAAACAGAAAGAGGTTATGCAATACTGTATAAAATATATAAAGATATATCTTTATAAAAGATACAAAGTTGATTCAACTCCAATCTTAAGGAGCTTATATTGTAAAATAGGCTGGATAAAATGAAGATTAAGGCCACAGAACAACCAGAAGAACCCAAGTGGTATTTACAAATTTGTAAGGTAAAAACTGTGTGTGTGTTTTATAGCAAATACAAGCATGGCTAAGGATCACATGTAACTAGATAAAAGTCACAGTAAAAGATATATTTAATCATTAAGAGCAGTCTAGAAATTCCCAAAGTGCTCTTTTGGCATTTGAGGAATCTTATTTAACATTTCACAGGTGACTGATTCTGTTTTCTAGGTTGTTTGTTTGTTTGTTTTTTAAGCCCAAGCATAAGGATTTTAGTACCTCTTCAGGCCTTCCCAAAGCGGGAGTTCCCGTCAGAAGAATGGCTCGTTTGGCTTTCTGTACTATCGGCAATAAAACCTTGCTGCGAGTTGCGTTTCTGGACTTCATGTAGTGTGATTCATCCACTATCACTACGCTGAAGTTCTGAGTGTTCAGTGCATCTATCAAAGTCTCTGCATCTGTCGTTAAGAGACCGTAACCCAGAACTGTCACTTTGCTGGTCGATATTCTCCTAGAAAAGAAATTTATGTACTTTAAAAATACTATTTCAGTAACCAATTTATCATAAACAATACAACTCTTTGGGAAGAAATACAAGGAAAAGTAAGAGCAGAAGGTACCACCACTGAAACCCAATTTCTCTTAAGACTTTATAGTCTTTAAATGTAATAAACCCTAATCCAAAATTTAAAATTTTGTTAATCAAATCTAACTTTTTTTGGTTAAATGCTCTTTGGAAGCATTGACATCCAGCAACTTATATTTTAGTAGGACAAGAAGATTACTTTGTGAGAACATTTGCTTTCATGCACCTGTGATCATGAAGAAAGTGGATATTCAAATATTAGTCGGCTATTCTAGGAAGCCTTCCCACAAACAAGATAGCAGTTTCTTAAGCCAGGTGCTACTGGGATTTTGAGCAGGACAATACTTAGTACTCAGGGCTGTCCAGCACCCTGAAGGGCATCTCACATTCCTGGACCCTCCCATTAAAGGCCAGTAGATTCCCTGTCACAATGACAACGAAAATGCCCCTGGCCCTAGGTCGATGAAGTATAAGGAAAAGAGGGGGTTACCACCTCACCCAGAGAAACATTGGGCTAAAGTGATCCCTGATCTTTTGAACTACCTCTATAATTCAAATGTTTATAATATTCTTGATCATACTATAATGAAATTATTCATTTACATATTTATCCCCCTTATTATATCACTCGAGGCCCAGTGCACCAGTGGGGTCCCTCAGCCTGGCCTGCAGGGATCAGCCTAAAACCGACTCTCCGACATCCCCCAAGGGGTCCCGGATTGCGAGAGGGCGGTTCTTGGGTGACACACCCCGGAATCGGGCTCTCTCCTCTCTGGTTCTGGTGTGTCACCCAAGAACTGCAGCTGCCAAGTCACCTCAGCTCGGCAGTCCTGCGTTGAGTGTCTGCCCCCTTGGTGGTCATCGTGCATCATAGCTACTGGTTGGACAGTCGCTTAGGCTTTTATATATATACATAAGATAGGTGAGGGCAGGGGGTGTGTCTTATTCATTTTTGTATGTACAGTGCTATGATACTAAGGGGTTTGTAAATTAAATAGACAAATAAATGCATTGAAAATAAAACATGTCACTTTGCACTTTCTATACACCACCAGTGATGACACAGGAGGGAGTCAATCTTCTGCAGTTCTCTGCCCCCTAACAGAAAAGGAAGGGCTCCTAAACACCCAGTACCAACACAGCAATCACATTTTTTTTTCCATAATGACAAACGCATTTTCAGCCGTGGATAAATCTACTTGATATACAGACTTATTTGATATATACCAATTTTGGCACTTTCCCCCCATAAATACTAAAAAGTTGTTCTTACCCAACATCAGTTTTATTCTGAATAACACTGATTTCTTCTGGATCTAGCTCTGGGATCCATTTTTCTATTTCTTCTGTCCAAGGATACCTCAGAGATGAAGGGACCACTATTAAAAGAGGCCATTCCTCCTTATAAAAGTAAGCGATGGCAATTGCCTGGATTGTCTTTCCTAGGCCCATCTAAATTGAAAATAAATAAATAGATAGGCAGATAAACAAATATGAAGGCTAAAATATTTTGTAAGAAAATATAAAATATTTTATTTAAGAGTATCATCAAAATAATTTTCAAATGTAAATTCAATTATATTACAGCTAATTAAATGTTCAAGATTATGATGACACTTAAAAGCCATTGGAAAAATTATATTATTTTCAAACCATTTTTGATTGAACTTAAGAGACAAAATGACCCCTACTCAAAAATATTAGTATACTGGTTTCATATAACTTAATTTTATAAAGATTTATGTTACCATTTATAATTTCTCCTCTTAGAGAACACAAGAGCAAAATGCCTTACCTTTAAACTACAAAATCATGGTATTTCAAAGCTAAAATAAGCTCTAAATCCTGTACATTTTACAGGGGAAGTCAGCACAGAGTAGTTAAATTATTTGTTCATCTTAACACTTAACTGGTTGCAACACTAGCATGATGTCTGGGGCCCAGGTGTCTGGTGTCCTCCCACTTGATGGTTTCACTCTGACAGTACACTGCCCCATCTCTAAGCTGTACCACTTAGAAATTAGTTACCAGATGAATGTTTATAAAGGCCTCATCCTGTGCACTGCAGTTTAGGAGATGGCCAAGGACTTGAGGATAATAAGTATGCAGGATTTTGGGGTCTTTTACTCAAGTTTTTTTTTCCTTTCTGATATTTTTCTCTTCATGTCCCAGTGGCACAATACATAGTTTGGGAGCTAGACAGAGCAGCTGTCTGTGATAGAAACAGGTATAAGCAGCCTATTTCAACTATGCAGCTTATGGCTTTAAAAATAGAAAGAATTGAACAATCAGTGATGCATCTAGGAAGCTGAGGAAGAAGGGAAAAACAATTCTGCAAGCTATGAATGTACTACTTTATTAGGTTTGGAAAATTCTAAATAATTTCTTACTATTCCCAGCTATCTTATCACACACTTTCCTAATAACATAAAATTATCATTGCCTTTAAGAACTAAACTATTAAACTTAAAATATTAAGTATCAATTACAAAATAAGGAGACATCTTAAAAAGAAAAAATTGGTCCTGAGCCGAGAAGTTTTCAATTTAACCAATGGAAGGGTTAATTTAAGGAGATAATGTGTTGAATACAAGAAAAAACAATGGAAGCAAAGAAAAGGGTATAGTAAAGAGTCTGACTCCATTTTTAATACTTGAATGCTGACAGCTTTTAAACATCATCAGTCCCCTTTACCACTCTCCCCAAATTTTGGGAAGGTGATAAGAAAATATGGGTGCTGCCCTAGCCAGGTTGGTTCAGATGAGCGTCGGCCTGCAGATTGAAGGGTCACGGGTTCGATTCCCGTCAAGGGCATATGCCTGGGTTGAGGGCTCGATCCCCAGTGGGGGGCGAGCAGGGGCAGCCAATCAATGACTCTCTCTCATCACTGATGTTTCTATCTCCCTCTCCCTTCCTCTCTGAAATCAATAATATATATATATGAAAACATGGGTGCTACTTCCTTTGTCACCTGAGGGAAATTCAAGCACACAAGCCTGACCCACATTATGAGAACCCTCACCCTCTAGAGTCTAGACCCACCTGGTAAATCCAATAAAAATCCAAGTTAGTCTACATTTCTTGTTTTTTCAAGCCGCTTTCATCTGCTTATGATCCTACTCTCCCCAGAAAGCTTTATTATCTGAGTAATAAATGTTTCCATATCCTATGGTCATCTGTGTAGCATCATCATTCCTGACATGTGAACCAAATTTTGGAGTCAGAGTCCACCTACCTCTTCTAAGACCACAGCAAAGGAAACACCATTCCTCAATATATGTTAACAAGCAGGCATTGTGATTTATATGAGTTTTCCTTGAGCTTTGTCAGCTTGAGTGAAATCTCAAAATCTGACCAACATGGAATCATGAAAATAATGATTTTTCTGGCCCTAGCTGGTTTAGCTCAGTGGATAGAGTGTTGGACCGTAGACTGAAGGGTCCCAGGTTCGATTCCAGTCAAGGGCATGTACCTTGGTTGTAGGCTCAAACCCCAGGCCTGGTCGGAGCCAGTGAGGGAGGCAACCAATGGATGTGTCTCTCTCACATCCATGTTTCTCTCTCTCTCTGTCTCTTCCCTTCCCTTCCACTCTCTCTAAAAATCAATGGAAAACATACTTGAGTGAGGATTAACAACAATAAAAAAGAGAACGATTTTCTGAATCTGCTTACCTGAAGATAATAGCCTATTCTGGTTAGGGAATTCACCTAACAAATGAGATTCTAAGTTATCTATTATCTTTCCAGGTAACCCCCAATCTTTTATTCAACATCTCTTCACTTAAAAGATCATGTAGATAAATGACTAACAGTATTTTATGGAAATTAGTAAGATACTTATCAACACAAAGTAAAGCAGTCAGTTGCTTTCTTATGTATTTGTTGATGACTGCTCTTTTTGAAGGCATCACCCAGTAAAAGATAAAGTTTGATGGAACAAACTCAAACAAAACATGATTCAAAGTCAGAAAGTAAAAGTATATGAGTGTAATCACATGTTCCCATTAAGGAAAGAAATTACACATAGTATAGGATAGCTGAGTTCCATATACAATTTGCAAATAGGAAAATAATTGTCTGGAATTATTTTTCCCCTAGAAACAAACTTTTAAAACATGTACTTAGATTTCAGTATTTTGCAAAGAATTTTAAATAGCATAACATTCAATTAAAAAAGCAATAACATATGTCAAGTAATTTGGGTATAAAGAAATAACTACACTCAATAGATGGTTCAAAGCTCTTGGCTCTAACTGCACTAGAATTTGTTAAAGTGGAACCATCCAGTGTTTCATCACAATTAAGGCTAAATCACCTATTCAGAACCAAAGTCTTGACTCTACAGTATTACAAGTGTCTAGATAACTACATGAGAAGAATTAAATAGAATGCATTAACTTCAAGGGAACATTTTATCAATGTTTTCAAAATAATAAATCACTTTTACTTTGAGAATAATTTTAGGTTATCTTAATGACTTATTCTATAAAATTATTAAGGGCAATTAAATAATAATGATCTTAAATTACATATATAATTTCAGTTTTAATTTTTTATATTGCGATTGCTTTTATGTACCAATAGTATACAGAAGATGCCTGCTGATTAAAGCCAAGTATCACATGAGCTCATTTATATGTGGAATCCAATGAACAAAATAAACTGATGAACAAAATAGATCCAGAGACAGAATCATGGAACAGACTCTGAAATCTCAGAGGGAAGGTGGGGGAGGGTGGGTAGGGGAGGTGGGAAGAGATCAACCAAAGAACTTGTATGCAAATGCATAACCCATGGACACAGACAAGAGGGTGGTGAAGGCTTGAGGGGGAGGGGTGAGCTAGAAGAGGTCAAGAGAGGGGAAATATGTACTTTCAAAAATAAAGATTTAAGAAATAATTTTTTTAAAGCTATAGCTGCTTGTAACTCTTAGGACAGAGAGGTGGGATTGCCTTAAGAATAGGTGGCCTCTTTGTTCTAGAGGAGGCTCCTTTGGAAGACCATTTCAGGTATGCAGTTTTAAAATCTTAATGAAGAACTAAATTTTTTGCCTGACACCTGACAGTGCAGAGGCCTCCCTTCACACGGTCAAATCTTGGTCTGTTTAGGCCTGATAAACTCTGCTAGCCTCCTCCTGACTATAGCAGATCGACCTAATACATGAAAAACAACAAAACCCTCAAAAAGGCAGTCAAAATGAGGACACAAAGAATCATGCCCCAAATGAAAGAACAGGAGAAATCCCCATGAAAATAGCAAAATGAAATGGAGCCAAGCAACTTATCAGATACAGTGTTCAGAAAAATGGTTATAAATATAACATATAGACACAGAGAACAGTGTGATGATAGCAATCAGACAAGAAGAAGAAATAAAAGGCATCTAAATTAAGAAAGGAAGAACTAAAGCTGTCATTATTGCCAGATAGCATAATACTGCATACAGAGAACCCTAAAGACTTCACCAAAAAACTACTGGAACTGAGAATTCAGTAAATTAGAATACAAAATTAATATTCAGAAATTGATGGCATTTTTATACACGAAGAGAACAATCCAATTTACAATTGCAACAACAACAACAACAAAAAGATATCTAGGAATAAATTTAACCAAGGAGGTAAAAGACCTGTACTCAGAAAATTATAAGATAATAACGAAAGGCCGAAACCGGTTTGGCTCAGTGGATAGAGCGTCGGCCTGTGGACTGAAGGGTCCCAGGTTCGATTCTGGTCAAGGGCATGTACCTGGGTTGCGGGCACATCCCCAGTGGGAGATGTGCAGGAGGCAGCTGATCGATGTTTCTCTCTCATTGATGTTTCTAACTCTCTATCTCTCTCCCTTCCTCTCTGTAAAAAATCAATAAAAAATATATAAAAAAATACTTAAAAACATTAAAAAAAAGATAATAAAGAAAGAAACTGAGCAAAATACAAATAAGTGGAAACATATACTGTGTTCATGAATAGGAAGAATTAACCATTAAAATGCCCATATCATCCAAAGCAATCTATAGATTTCAACGCTATTCTTACCGAGATACCAATAGTGTATTTCACAGAATTTGGACAAATGTTCCAAAAAGGTGTATGGGACAACAAAAGATGCTAAAGAGCCTCAGCAATCTTGAGAAAGAACAAAAAAGTTGGAAGAATCATGCTACCTGATATCAAACCACACTACAAAGCCATTAGTGATCAAAATAGCCCGGTCTTGGCATAAAAACAGACATATAGATCAATGGAACAGAACAGACTGCCCAGAAATAAATCCATGCCTTTATGGTCAACTAACATTTGACAAAGGAGTAAAGAACATACAATGGGCTAAAGATAGTCTAGTCAATAAATGGTGCTAGGGAAATTAGACAGATACATGCACCACACACAAGAATAAACTAAAATTGGATTAAAAACAAATGTTGAACTCGAAATCATAAAAATCCTAGAAGAAA